GGCAAAGGGCTCAAGCATAGCAATGGCTGTGAGGTTGGTGCAGGATCGGGCAGTGTTTCGCTCTGCTGTGCGTAAGGTCGCTAGGGGTCAGGACTAACTCAAGGGCAAGTAACGACAACAACAACAACATCTATGGACTCCTGGTGTGGTGTTATTAGATCAGCACTGGACTGTGGACCACAAAGTTGGCAGTTCAAACCCACCACTGTCCCTTGGAAATCCTATCCAAGGTCTTTTTTTTATCTGAAAACAGGGAGCATACAAAAAGCAGCACAATGGATGATTACGTACTGATTGTTAGTCAAGTCAAGGGTAAGGGGTGCGCTAAAGACAATGAGTGCGTCCTAGGAGAGAACAGTGAGTGCTCATATCACCTCATAACCAGCTGTGGAGAAAGAGCACCAGGGCAGGAAACAGAAGGAAGAAACTAAAAATGAAAGCCATCTAGTACCTGGACATAGACTTCTCAATACAGGACTTCTGAAAATGTTGTGGGCCCCTGTGGCTTTAAGAGCGCAGAGGAGGGACGGCAAGTTTACTCATTCTAGAAATTTAATAGCAAGAAGAGACAGAGACAATGGTTGGGCGAAGAAAAGTCAACAGACAAAATATTGAAGAGTTTGGAAAGAAGAAAGGATCTACAAGGAGGGTCTAGGTAGATAGGAAAAGGAGAACTCTCCCTTCCCCTGGCAAAAAGGTATTTTAAAGAGAGCACCTCTCGTTTCACATCATAAAAGGCAAAACCATTTCTTAAGAAAATGAAGAGTGAAGAAAACATTCAAAGCAAGCATTGACAAGTGATGTGAGAACCAGCGATCTGTTAGGAGACCTGAAGACTACAGCGATGCAAAAACACTATGACACGTGTAAGTGATTTGGGGGAGGGAGGACTGAGAGGAGTGGGTACCAGTGCAGGTGGCACAAGGTGGAAATGGGGGTACACTACTATTGGCTAGATTTGAGATTTTCATATGAAAAAGGTTTTTTTAATGTAAGAATTTCAAATTTCCATCACTTTTAATTCTCATTTCTCACCACTCATAAAAAAGAACAAATATTTACCAAGAATACAGAAAGCACTGATTTCCTTTATTTCTTAATAACAAACAACAAACGCCTGTCTCATCTTTGTTTCTTCAGATCTGATCAGTTCTCAAATGGAAATTATGACCCAGTAAAGATAATTCAATCATTTCTTGCTCACACATTAATTAATTCAGACTTTGCATAATGGAACGTATGATGGCAGACAGGACAACAGTTCAAACGACGAGAAACAAATCTAGCAAAATCCAAATATTCTTTTTAAATGAAGTGAAATATTAAAGAAAAACAAAACAAAATCTCCTTTACTTACATAAGAAAAACAATTCCAAAACTTTGGAATAAATTGAGGAAATTTTTCAAGAGTTAATATAATAATCCATTCTATGAAATATTTTATAGATGCTTGATTATTGACGAAAGCAGCCTGGAAAATCTTGTCAATAATTCCATTAATGAAATTCTGAGGAAAATAAAGTTCACAAATTAAACTTATTGCTATGATTAATATATTAAAAATATTTTTACACTTAACAGTTTAACTATAAACAATGTTTCTATCACTTAGTTTCTTGTGGAGTAAACACACCGTAGCTGGCCATTCCCCCAGTTTCCAGTGTACACGTTGGTACACACATGTGCTGTACTTGCACGCGCCTTTATGAGGGGGCGCAATCTCCCTCCACCCCCAGATGGTTGAGTGTTTATTGCTGTTTTCACATGAAAGGCTGCTGGATTCTACCAAATGCCTTTTCAGCACTGATTAAGATGATCATGCGCTCCTCCCTTGTTATATTAATGTACAATGATTGACTTTCTAATGTATTCTACCAAATGCCTTTTCAGCACTGATTAAGATGATCATGCGGTCCTCCCTTGTTATATTAATGTACAATGACTGACTTTCTAATGTCGAGCCACCCTCATATATTCCTAGGAAAATCCCACATGATTGAAGTGTTTAATTCAGTTACTATGTTGCTGGATTTAGCTTTCTAATACTTTGCTAAGAACTTCTATGTCTAAATTCATAAGGTATTTGGGTCTATGTTGTTGTTAAGCGCCATTGAGTCGGTTCCGACTCATAGCGACCCTGCAAAGGGTTTCCAAGGATTGGCTGTGTGACCCACTGACCTTGTGGTTCAAACAGACCATGGGGTCAAGTGTTTATCCTACAGCACCACTGTAGTTTTCCTTTTTTTATCTTTGATATCAAAGGTTACAGAATACATTATGAATTGCTTTTCTATATTTTGGAAGAGTCTGAACAGAACCAATATAAATGATTCTTTAAATGTTTGGTAAATTTCCCAGTAAAGTCACTTGGTTAAAGCCTTGACTTGTGAGATTTTTGATGATCAATTCCATTTCTTCACTTGTTATGTTGTTGCGGTTGTTAAATGCCATTGGGTAGGTTCCAACTCATAGTGACAACTGTATAGTGTTTCTAAGGATCAGCTGGTGGGTTTGAACTGTTGACCTTGTGGTTGGCAGTGCAGTGTGGATCCTAAGCACCACAACAGATTTGGTATAGGGCTGTTCAAAGTTTCAGTTTCTGTTTCGTTTATCAGCTATATTGTCTTCTCTTTTTTTCTTTGTTAGCCTAGGGAGACATGTATCAATTTCACTGATCTCGTAAAAATATTTTTTTAAAAAATCCACAAACCCGACTTTAGTTTGTTGATTCTTTTCTCTATTTCCACCACACCCTCAATGCCATGGACTGATACAGTGGCATCAACAACTGGCTCAACAGTGACACTAACTGAGGCTGGCACTGGGACAGGGAGGGTTTCTGTTGTGCACAAGGTAGCTGAGTTGGAACCCAATCAATGACATCAGCCCACAAGATTGCTAATGTAATAACAACACTGTCAATTTATTATTCCTTCTGTCTGCTCTTCTTTTTATAGTTCCTTAAGGAGTAAAGTTAGGTTTATTGAGTACTTTCTTGATTAGGTTTGTTTTTCCATTGATTTCTTTCTTCCTGTTTAATGAGTTAATGACTATAACCTTCTCTCTAAGCACTGCCCTTGCTGTAGCCTGTAAGTTGTGGTGTGTTGTATTTTCGTTTCCACTCATCTTTCTAAGTATTTTCTAATTTCCCTTCTGGTACCTTCACTGACCAATTAGTTGTTTAACAGTTGTTGTTGCTGTTAAATACTGTGGAGTTGGTTCCGACCCAGAGCGACCCTGCACAGGGCTTCCGAGGCTGTAAATCTTTATGGGCGCAGAAAGCCTCATCTTTCTCTCGCGGAACCGCTGGCAGTTTTGAATTGCTGACCTTGAGGGTTGCTGTTGTTAAGTGCCGTCGAGTCGGTTCCGACCCATAGCGACCCTGTACAGGGTTTCCGAGGGTGTAAATCTTTACGCGAGTAGAAAGCCTCATCTTTCTCCTGCGGAGCGGCTGGTAGTTTCGAACTGCTAACCTTAAGGTTCGCAGCCCGATTCGTAACCATGTAAGCACTACGCTACCAGAGTTCCTTTAATGCTGTTTAATTTCTACATGGGTGTGAATTTTCCCATTTTCCTTCTTATATTATAGTCTTATTCCATTGTGGTTAGAACATATACTTTCTGTGATTCATGTTGTTATTGTTAAGCGCCATTGGGTCAATTCCAACTCATAGAGACTCTCTATGGGGTTTCCGAGGAGCAGCTGGTGACCTCGGACCACCAGCTTTGTGGTTCAAACCGACTTTGTAGTCCAACGCATTAATCCACAGCAACACAACCAGGACATATAGATTTATAGACATAAAATTTATTGGGCTTAACTCAAAGTCAGTGGGCTCTTTTATGACAATATGTGGTCTATCCTGGAGAACGCTCCTGGTGCACTTGAGCAAAGTGTGGATTCTGCCATTGGTTGGAGTGTTCTATATGAGGGGGCTTTAAAATAGTCAATGAAAAATCCCATTCTTTTTTAATTCCACTTTTCCGTAAACTTTCTGCATTCTCCTTATAGACGTCTGTTATGTCTACTTTGGTACAGTGTGATTCAAACCCACTAATAAACTATTGACACTGTCTGATTGAAGAGTGTACTGGCTCCATACGACAACCTGTGGGCTGCAAGCATATTGTTGTTATTGTTGTTGTTAAGTGCTGTTGAGTCGGTTCCAACCCATAGCGACCCTGCATAGGGTTTCCAAGGGTCAGCTGGTGAGCTTGAACCACTGACCTTGCAGTTCAAACGGCTTTGCAGTTTGGCGCATTAACCCACAGTGCCACACCAGGACTCCAAGCATATTTTAGAACACATATAATTGTTATATATTCTTCATGGATTGACCATTTAAGTCAATATACAGTATGTTTTTCTTTGTCTCGTTGTTACTTTAAGTCTGATAAAAGTATACCTACCTCAGCTATCATTGGTTAATACATGTATGAAATGTTCCCTTTATTTTCACACTCAACTTGTTTATGCATTCACTCTAAAGTGATCCTCTTGTAGTCAGCATACAGCTGAATCATTTTTGTTTTAAAATCCATCCTGCCATTTAAAATAATTACTGATGAGGAAGGACTTATTCTGATACTTTGCTATTTTTTCTATGTGTATCTTGTAGCTTTTTAAGGTAACCTGGTGGTGCTTTGGGGTAGGCACTGGGCTGCTAACCACATGGTTGGTGGGTCAAACCTACCAGCCATGCTGTAGGGACAAAGATGAGGCTGCTTGTTCTGGAAAAGACTTAATCTTGGAATTGGAATCAATTCAGCAGCAGTAGACGTTGGGATACCTATTCTGTCTCTCATTTTTCTTCATGACCGTCTCCTTTTGGGTTCAAACTCATCAGCTCCTCAGAAACCCTATACAGGGTCGCTATGAATCCAAACCAACATAAAGACACTTAACAACAATAACAATTATTCCTATAACACAAAAATGAATGGTAAAGATGGAATTCAAAACCCAAGTTCAACTCTGAAATTCTTGTTTCATTGCACATCCCTATCTCGAGGGCTTAAAATGAACTCTACTGATATTCTTGTTCTAACTATTAGGAATTCTTTTAAGAGAGATTTTCTACTTAAAATTTTAAACATTATTTAAATTATTTGCTATTATCTACTTGCATATTTGGAGTCCTGGTGTGGCACTGTGGGTTAATGCGTCAGACAGCAGAGCCGTTTTAACTGCAAGGTTGGTGGTTCAAACTCACTAGCAGTTCCACGAAAACCCGATACAGGGTCGCTATGGGTTGGAATCTACCTGACGGCACTTAACAACAACAACTTATTCGTTATATCATTAGTGAGCTAAAATGGACTATTATTGGCTATTTTGAATCTGATAACCACATGGTTTACTATGCCGGGAATGACAAATTGAAGAGGAAT